ATAATCTTAGGCGTAATTACAAATATATATTATATATAAAGACAACATAAACAGAATATACAGGTTTTACTGTATATTGACAATCATACAAGAGGAACGTTAGGAACCTTTTAAAGTGTTTTGTAAATGGCGGATTTTTGTAGATAGACGCTCATTTGTTTCATCTTTGTGTCCATCACAAGAAGAACTATTCGGGAAGGGGGGGGGGGTGTGACGGGGGCAAGACCTTGTATAAAATGCTTCCGACAAAAATTTCATAGAGCTGTTCCACTTAATGTAACAAGATTTAAGTCCTTCAAGAGCTGGCTTGTTTGAAAATGTTTAAGTTAAAGTGCCTTGAAATGTTCACTACTGACTTCTACTTGCTCTCAAAAGAAGAGCCTTGATCCAGCGGCAAAATACAAAGCTTTCTTGAGAGTAATTCCCCTAGATGCGTTCTTGAGTATGTTATATGTTTTAAAAATGAACGATCGATATTCCCCACAATAATTCTGTCCATTTTCAAGGTAAGAATGTTCTTAAAGGTAATTATTATGCATAGACGTTTTCTTTGACATTTGTTCGTATATCATCATTAAAATCAATCAGCTTTATTTGACGACTGTAAGTATCGTTTTGAATTGTAAATAGGAGAAAATGGGGGATAAAAATGGGTGATAAGTAGACTATGGATATACCAGTTCACAGATAAAATACTGTAGTTGAACCACTTCGTAACAGATAAAAAGAACGCAAAGCAGAGATGGTGTATTTCCTGATAACACCGTGTTGAAGCTCCTCGAACTAAGACCATCTGACATCTGATAGGCAAAAGAGAAATACGTGATCCAAACATTCACAGGAAGTCCATCAAGCTAGCTATCAGAGATAATCCGACGTGCAGAAGACCCGTAGAACACCGACAGCAAGTTGTTCCAGCAGATAGAAAAATACTCATCAAGAAATTAAAGACAAGCAAGAAGAAAAACTGGGAAAAACGAGATTAAACTAAGAAAAAAAAATTCAGAGTAACAGTCAAACAAGAATTAAAAAAAATATTCAGGTCACGCTGTAGCTATAGTAAAGAATTACCAGAAAAATAATGACTCGTATCCTACACACATACACACTCGTATTTACAGTGTCAGACGGTCAGTTTCTCGATTTGCACAAATTCGTTGGTTAATTTTTCCTTCGGACTAAAGCTGGGAGAATGTACCTGTCTAACTCTTTAAACTACGACATAAAGATGGAGGAAAAGAGACGAGGAAATAGTACTAAGGTCTTGACATAAGGAGAGTTAGTTACTGTATGTTCTGGGGAATGAATGGTCAGATGCTAAGGTTAGATTTGACCTTCGGATCATTAAATTTTCGGGTCAATGAACATTTGAAACAATGAACCTTCTAATCAATAGACCTACAAAGATATGAATCTTTGAAACAATAAACCTTTGAAACAATGAACATTCGAAGTAATGAACCTATAAATAAATGAACTTTCTAACCAATTAACCTATAAAAAATTTAACCTTCGAAACAATGAACATAGTATCAGAATCGTAATTCATGTAAAAGTTCTTCCATTTTTTATGTAGAAAATTAATAAATTTTTGACAATTATATTTCAAGAACACTCAGGAAAGAGTAGCAGGTTTTTGCCGTCATAAGTTCTCAGTAAAAATTGTCACAGGTGATGACTAAAGACTATGATATATGGCCAAGAAAACTACTATCCACGGGCCTTTGCTTGATTACTTATACAATCTTACGCCATCATCAATAATGATCATGTGAGAACACAATTTATAAGCATCAGTGAAGCTTATTTTCATATCTCAGGTCATAAATGCACGGAGAGTATAATTATCGTAATTATAGAAGTACTTTCATCGAAATGAATGGACAAAAAGACCTATTTCTTTTACATTTTTTTATATCGCGGGACCTGGCCAGTTCTAACCTAGCCTAACATAACATAACCAATATAACATAACTTAACCTAATCTAATTTAGCCTAACTTAACACAGTGTCGTAACATGATCTAGCGTAACGTTACGTAACCTAACCAACCCAAAGAACATAACTTAATACTGTATAACCTAACTGAACCTAATCCTACCTAACCAACTGAAACTAACCTTACATAACTTAACCTAACCTAATATAATCTAGCCAAACCTAGTGTAACTTAACCTAACAGAACCACAGGAGAGGAATGGAAAGGCAAATAAAAAGATAATTTGACTATATACTGTAAGTAGTAAAAAAGAAGTAAACTATAGGAATAAATTAATAAAAGTCGGATTATGAATGGCCAGGGAAAAACAAATAATGTGACTTGAGAGACAAGAAAAATAAAAGGATTGGTAAAGACAACCTCAGAATGGTGTGTGTTGAGGGCTGTGGTCGCCAATCTTCAGACATAAGGGACGACATCTCGATTGTAACTGACTGACTGACTTACTTAGAGGTTGCCAGAGCAGAATGTGAACGAGAGACAAGAGAAACAGTATTCAAAGTAGGTGGAGGAACCAGAGTAACAAGAAATAATAAAAATGAACTACAACACAACCCGACAAAGAAGCTTCAGGGCGACGAGTGACAACTATGCTGTGTGTCTTTCTTTTGTTTTTATGTCTATCTGCCTGCCCGTCTGTCTTTCTGCCTGCCTCTCTGTCGATCTGTCTGTCTGTCTATGTGTGTGCCTTCCTTTCTCTAACTGTATACCTTCCATTATGACACCGCTAATGCTAAGCAGCGCACATGAACTTGATTACGCCAACATATATGTTATTAATGCTCAAAAACAGCAAATAAACCACAAAGCAAAAACATCAATCATCACTTAGCAAACAAAGACAACTATCGAGTATTGTCCGACAAACAAAAAATAAATACAAAGTCAGAACAAGTAAAAAAAATATACCAGTGGAAATAAATTGGGATTTATGTAATATTGATAAATAAAACAGCATTACCACTATTATTACCAGCTTCAACACCACGACCGCTATCTCCACCATCACCACTATTACCACCATCAATTACCACTACCACCATCAATAACACAACCACCACCAACACCACTACTCCTACCACCACCACTACTCCTACCACCACCACCACTACCAACAATAACACAACCACCACCAACACCACTACTCCTACCACCACCACCATTACCAACAATAACACAACCACCACCAACACCACTACTCCTACCACCACCACCATTACCAACAATAACACAACCACCACCAACACCACTACTCCTACCACCACCACCATTACCAACAATAACACAACCACCACCAACACCACTACTCCTACCACCACCACCATTACCATCAATAACACAAGCACCACCAACACCACTACTCCTACCACCACCACCATTACCAGCAATAACACAACCACCACCAACACCACTACTCCTACCACCACCACCATTACCAACAATAACACAACCACCACCAGCACCACTATCCCACCACCACCACCATTACCAGCAATAACACCAACCACCACCAGCACCACTATCCCTACCACCACCACATTTACCAACAATAACACAACCACCACCAACACCACTATCCTCCACCACCATTGCCAGCAATAACACAACCACCACCAACACCACTGTCCTGCCACCCACCGCAGTACCAGCAATAGCACAGCCACCACCAGCACCACTATCCTGCCACCACCACCATTGCCATCAATAACCTGACCACCGCCAGCACCACTATCCTCCACCGTTGCCAGCAATAACACAATACCTGCTACCACTATCCTGCCGCCACCATTGCCAGCAATAACACCAGCCACCACCAGCACCACTATCTCTACCACCGCCAATTGCCAGCAGTAACACAATACCGCCAGCGCCACTATCCTGCCGCACCGCCGTTGCCAGCAATGGACAATACCGCCAGCGCCACTGTCCTGCCACCACCACCATTGCCATCAAGTAACCTGACCACCACCAGCACTACTGCTCCTGCCGCCGCCATCACCGCCAACAGCAACACCATCATGCCACCACCACTATCTGCCACCGCCACGTTGCCAGCAATGGCACAGCCACCACCAACGCCGCTATCCTGCCACCGCCACCTTGCCGGCAATGGCACAATCACCACCAACACCACTATCTCTGCCACCACCATTGCCAGCAATGGCACAATACCACCAACGCTTTCCTCCTGCCACCACCGTTGCCAGCTATAACCTGACCTGCCAACACCACTATCTCACCACCATTGCCATCAATAGCACAACCACCACCAGCACCACTATCTCACCATCCATTGCCAATGTCACACCACCACCATTACCAGCAATGGCACAGCCGCCGCCAGCACCACTATCCTGCCACCGCCACCGTTGCCAGCAATAACCTGGCCACCACCAGCACCGCTGTCACCAGCTTCATTGCCATCCAGTAACCGTACCACCAACGCCACTGTCCTGCCACCACCACCGTTACCAGCAATAACACAATACCAGCACCACTGTCGCCACCGCACCACCGTTGCCAGCAATAACACGAAGCCACCGCAACACCACTGCTCCTGCCACCACCGCCGTTGCCAGCAATAACGCAATACCACCAACGCCACTGCTCCTGCCACCAGCCATTACCAGCAATAACGCAGCCACCACCAGCACCACTGCTCCTCCTGCACCACCGTTGCCAGCAATGAGCGCAACCACCACCAGCGCCACTGCTCCTGCCACCGCCGTTGCCAGCAATAACACAGCCGCCACCAGCGCCACTATCCTGCACCGCCGCCGTTGCCGGCAATGACCGACCACCGCCAGCCGCCACTGTCCTGCCACCACCATTGCCAGCAATAAGCACAACCACCGCCAGCGCCACTATCCTCGCCGCCGCCGTTACAGCCGATAACGCCTGACCGCCAGCGACGCTGCTTCCTGCCCGCGGAGTTGCCGTCAATGACGCAATACCACCAGCGCCGCTGTCCTGCCGCCGCCTTGCCGACGACAGCGCCATCATGCCAGCGCCGCTGTCCTGCCGCCGCCGCCGTTGCCAGCAATGGCATGCAGCCACCACCAGCGCCGCTCATCACCGCCGCCGCCGCCCGCCAGGCAATGGCCTGCCGCCGCCAGCGCACTGTGCTGCCGCCGCCGTTGCCAGCAATCAAACCGCAACCGCCGCCAGCGCCACTGCTCCTGCCGCCACCGCCGTTGCCAGCAATGGCCGCAGCCGCCACCAGCACTATCCTGCCACCGCCGTTGCCAGCAATAACGCAGCCACCACCAACGCCCGCCTATCTGCTGCCGCCGCCGTTGCCAGCAATGGCCTGACCGCCAGCGCAGGTGCCGACGATGGCACGATACCGCCAGCGCCGCTGTCGCCGCCGCCATTGCCGGCAATGGCACGACCGCCACCAACCCGCTATCCTCGCCGCCGCCGCCGTTGCCATCGATGACGCAATGCCGCAGCGCCACTGTCCTGCCGCCGCCGTTGCCAGCAATGGCGACAGCCGCCACCAGCGCCGCCTGTCACCGCCGCCACCATTGCCAGCAATGTACCGATACCACCAGCACGCCTGCTCCTGCCACCGCCACCGTTACCAACAAGTAACACGATAGCCACCAGCGCCACTGCTCTGCCGTTGTACCGCAATGCCCTGACCACCGCAAGCATTTGCCTGACCATCACCACCAACAGCACCGCACCACTGTCCTGCCACCACCACCGTTGCCAGCAATAACACAGCCACCGCCAGCACCACTGCATTCCTGCCACCGCCACCATTGCCAGCAATGACACAAGCCACCACCAGCACCACTGCTCCTGCACCACCGTTACCAGCAATGGCTGCAATACCACCAGCACCGCTATCCTCCACCCGCAAATTGCCAGCAATGGCACAGCCACCACCAGCACCACTATCTGCACCACGCCGCATTGCCAGCAAATAGCACAATGCCAAAGCACCACTGCTCTGCGCCGCGCTAACGCCAGCAATCACACCGACGCGCCAACGCCGCTGTCCTGCCACCACCACCATTGCCAGCAATAACGCAATACCACCAGCACCTGCTCTGCCGCCACCGCAATTGCCAGCAAGTAACACAACCACGCCAGCACCACTATCTCTCACCTGCCATTGCCAGCCAGCCAGCACAATACCACCAGCACCACTGCTCCTGCCACCGCCAGTTGCCAGCAATGCACAATACCACCAGCACCCTGCTCTGCCACCGCCGCCATTGCCAGCAATGACACAATGCCGCCAGCGCCGCTGTCACTGCCACCACCGCATTGCCAGCGATGGCTCACCGCCAGCACGCCTGCTCCTGCCACCACCGTGCCAGCAATGGCACGACCACCACCAGCGCCACGTATCTCACCACCGCAATTGCCAAACAATCCAGAAACCTGCACCCGCCTGCCGTTGCCAATGATGCCTACCGCAGCGCCTATCCTGCCACCGCCACCGTTGCCGAATATGGCCACCACCAGCACCACTATCGCCACCGCCGTTGCCAGCAATGGCCTGACCGCCGCCACGCCACTGTCGCCGCCGCCGCCGTTGCCAGCAGATAGCGATACCCGCCAGCGCCACTGTCTGCCGCCGCCGCATTGCCAGCAATGGCACGCAATACCAGACGCCACTGTCCTGCCACCGCCGTTGCAGACAATGACACAGCCGCCACCAGCGCCACTGCTCCTGCCACCACCGCCGTTGCCGACAGTAACTGGCCACCACCAGCACGCCTGCTCCCTACCACCACCACCTCCACCGCCGTTGCCAGCAGTAACGCAGCCACCACCAGCGCCACTATCCTGCCACCACCACCGTTACCAGCAATAGCGCAACCGCCTGCCAGCACCACTGCTCCTACCACGCCACCATTACCAGCAATAACACAACCGCCACCAGCCACTATCTGCCTACCAACGCCACTGCACCAGCACCTTTGCCACCGTTGCCATCAATGGACAGCCACCACCAGCGCCACTATCCTCTGCCACCACCATTGCCAGCAATAGCTGACAATACCACCAGCGCCACTCTCCTACCACCACCACCATTGCCGGCAATAACCTAACCACCAGCACCACTATCGCCACCACCATTACCAATCAATAACACAATACCACCAAGCACCACTCTCCTACCGCCACCGCATTGCCGGCAATGTACAATGCCACCAGCACCATATCCTGCCGCCTGCACCATTGCCAACAATGACGCAGCCACCGCCAGCACTTGCTCTGCCACCACCATTTCCAGCAATGGGCAACACTATCCTGCACCACCATTTGCGGCGCATCCACATATCTCTGCCACCACGTGCCAACAATAACACAATACCACCAGCACCACTATCTCTGCCACCACCATTGCCAGCAATAACACAATACCACCAGCACCACTATCCTCACCACCACCACCAATACCAGCAATAAACAATACCCACCAGCACCACTCTCCACCACCACCACCATTACCATATCCTACCACCACCAACACCACTACTCCTGCCACCACCATCTTACCAACCAGCACCACCATCGCCACCGACCATTACCAGCAACAACATCATCACCGCAAGGCTTCTAAGAATTGGGCGCCATCAGAAGGCAAAATGCATGAT